CATTAGTTTGTCTCAAGTCTTCATTGCTAAATGGAAAATAGCAATTATGACATAAATTAAACTTTGCCAGTTTTAACTGATTATCCTCGGTTAAATCTAGGATAGTTGGTAATCTAGTGATAGTGGCTTCTCTATTATTGTTGAAAGATTCATTCATTCACCAGATATATTCTTCATCATGATGGTTATTTAAATATGTGAGAGTACTTTCCCACAGATAATCTACAGCTTGGAAGTTCATACATATATTTTACAGGATCTTTCTATGCCTTGGCATGAGCTCTGCTCTTAGATGCAGGTAGGTAATAGTTGAGTGTCTTTTCCATATTTTTCTAATTGTAAAGAGGAAATTCAAATTTGATACTCTGCATAATCGATCAGATAATCATTTATATCATATGACATTTTAATAGGACTGAGTAAAGATAAAATTTCGATGTGTAACACCTGATAATAATAATTACCTCATGTACATTTATTTTTCTTTGTGAGAAATTTTTGGCATAAATACTTTCTTCCACCTATTCTATAGATCCAAAAGAAGACGTATAAAGAGATGAACGAAAACGTTTAAAAGAGCAGTATAATGATCTATTGTTACTTGTTGCATTTAGTGATTTTCCAAACTACTTTTTACTATTGACTTGAATATCTATTAATATGTCTGCCAATTTACAAACAAAAATTTATAATTTCTTAGTTAATGCAGAAGAACACATAACTGCTGGATCAGTTATTTATCAAGCTATAGAAGATGATCCATGGATAGAAAAAAATAAATTGAGAGGTGTCATAGAACAGGCAGTATCTTTTGCTAATAGTCAAAATAATCGAGGCTCCTCACGTTATATGACACTTCTAGAAATTCTACCTGAAGTAAGATATCTATCTTTATTAATAAATATTTATTTCGAATGATGAGTAATGCAGACAGTGATACCATTCTGAGAGAATAAGCACAACAGTTTAAACATTCCATAGTCCACCTACAGGAAAATTTCCTTGATGCATGAGGATGTTTAGATTGTAGATATCTGCTTATTTTAATGTGGTTATTCTAAGTATTGATCAGAATTTTATCTGCGTGATGGAGTAGCTAACCTCACAATGATAGGGTTTTGATTATATTCTGACAGCGCATGTGCTTTTTTAAGTTATTTTTAAATATCAACATAAACTAACTAATTGTATGTCTGTGTTAGTTTGAAATTTCATACAAAACAGTTTGTAGTTTATGTGATATCGGAGTAGTAAGAACAAATGAAGAAAAGCCTCTTAGTTCAAAACAAATTAAACAGAATATAAATGAGTTAAAAGGAAAACTTAAGAAAGATATGTCACAACTTTACCAGCATTTATATTCTGGTGTAAATGAGCTGTCTGTTTCCGAATTAACCTGGAAGGTTCCTCTGGCGAGCCAGGTTATTAGTGATGATGCAAAGCTGGTACAACAGTTACCAAATTATCTGTATAATATTTTTATGGTAAGCATTTATATAGTATTTACCTACAATAAACAATATAATTTTAATATTTTTTGTTATTACTAGAAACCTGTTCATCAAATGGTACCTACTTCATTGCCTATTATCCAAGAAACTTGCATGGAATTTGTATCACGGTTCATTAGACAACAGGTTGAGGTTCCACCTGAAAAATTAAAACATAACGGAACATGGTATGAATCAGAAGATGATATTATAGGAGTTACAGAAAGGATTCTCAGTACCTTGGAAGATGCTTGGAATAACACAGCATTTAGTCACGAATTTGCAGAATCACTAAATGAAGGAACCTATGTGACCAATGTGATAGTCCCTGCGATTCGTGCTTCATTAAAAAATCTTCCTTATGGGAAGTCCTCATTTGTTAGCACTTCAGAAAGACAGAGTACTGCTAGTGCTGATAGAAAAGGTCATATAGGATGACGACCTGACATTATGTTTGTGATAAAATTCCAGGAAAGAGTTTATGAACTTATGTACTCCGAATGTTCCTGTTTATTCTGTATGGAACAAAAAAAGATAGATGACGAAGTGAAATTATGACATGAAACTAATGATGGTATGTATTGGATACATAAAGGACTCAAACAAGATAAAGATGAGTTTGGAATTGTTGACCAGCTGGTTATTATAAAAAAATAAAAAAACAAATTATTTAATTAGATGATGTTTATTTTGTGTTGTAAAAGTTAAATTATAATATAATACTTACC